CGGGACGTGAACCTCGGTCGACTGTGGGAGTCCAGTGACATAACCATTACACTAACTGCTGGTTCCCCCACATTTTTTTTAATGTTTCAGAATTTAATTTCAAAGTATGAAAAGTGAAATTTTTCTAGTTGTCTTAATGACACTGATAATCTAGTAAAGAGAAAATTTTAAAATGGACAATTTTCTTTGATTTAATGTTACACAATTTTTCTGGTTATACAGAAAATATCAATGAAACTTTTTTTAAATTATAAGGGCTTAAGAGACTAGCAGTTGGAGTAATGGCTATGTTGCTGGACTCCCATGTAGTCAACCACAGTTTTGAGTCCCGGACCCAATGGCTGAAACTCACACTGGGTATGTGTATGTGCGTGCCCAAGATCCCAAGAGGAGAATGGAGGAGAAGGGATTGCGGTGTGGCCATCCCCCCCGGAGGTGATTTCTCACTTTCTTTCTGTCTTTCTGGCAAGCACATGTGCCCTATAGCAAAAACCTCTCCCCCACAAAAAAAGAAAATGATAAGGGCTTCAAATAATAGTCATTAAATTACTGGGTCAAAATTAGAATAAATTTAAATTTAAATGTTGATGAACACAGATTACAAGTCAACTGCATTTCTGCGTGGATAACAAAAACAAACATAAAACACAAAAAATGGCATTGTCAGTTGTTGGATACCAAATGAGGTGTTTTTTGGCTGAGTAAACACGCTTTCCCTGCTATTATTTTCATGTATCACATGTCACTGCAGAGATTAGAAATTGCTTTGAATTAAAAAAAAAAAATTGTTGTAGACTTTATTCTGCATTAAGTGCTTTACTCTCTAGTACTTCGGTGCTAAATTTTTTATCCATTTCTGAGGAAGATGTTTAATAAAGAAGCTAAATCTAGCTCTGCCAAAGTTATCTAAAAAAAAATATGTTCCTCACACTTTTACACATAGTATATAGAACTATAAAATCTGTCAAGGTAGAAATTTCCTGGAACTTAATGTATTAGAGGCAAAAGAAAACATATACAAATAATGTTTATAATATATGCATTCTGGCATATGTAGTGCTTTTAGTGTTAATTAGAGTACAACATCTATTATACACACATAGAACATTTCAGAAGCAAGTGAAGCAAACAGAAGCACCAGTTCTTTGAATTACACTTGATCACGAAGATGAGCAAGTCTCTGTGATAGTTCATCCTGTTCTGTTGAAGGAACAGATTGTTCATCTTGTTCTATTGAAGCAACACTGTGCCAGCTGATCCTGTTTGACCTTGTAGTAGTACCAGATTGAGATCAAGGCCAGCTTCATCAGCCATTTCTTCAAGCAGCATATCTTCTTAGTTTTGTGGTGTTAGGGCTGTAGTGCTGCTCATTGTGTCTTACATTTGTTGTGTTTGAACATCCATTGTTTCAAATTGGTGTTCAGATTTGTCCATCAAGGCAGAAATCTTTTCAGGTTTCATACGCCTCAGTGTACCATCCATAGATTAACTACACCTGCCATGGACTTTGTTACCTTGCCCATTGTTACTGTAGTTTGAACTCTGGCTGCCACAGCATCAACCCTTGTGCTCATTCTCAAGAAATTGGTTGCTTGGTTTTTCTGGCAGATTCTGTTTTCAGCATGCATTCTTGCAACTTCAGTATTGCCTTTCTGAATGGCGTTCTTAATCTTGGCCCTCTCAGCCTTTTCTTTATTACTTTTTTTTTGGGGGGGGGCATTCCTATTAAGTTCTTTTGCAGCAAACTTCAAGTTAAATGAGTGTTTCTCCATATTCAACATGGTCCCAGACTTTTCTCAAAAGGTGACAGCCTGGGGCAATAGAACAGGTTGAATGGGAGGTTGCACAAAGCCCAATAGTTGTCCTGAACAGTTGGCACACCTGGCTCCTCTATTTGCAGTCCTACTTCCTCTTCATTTTCTTTTTAAGAAAAATTACTAAGTGTACACTTAGTAAATTGTAGGGAGCAGCCCAAATCTGAGCAAACATGGCGACCTTTAGACACATGCAGAAATTCGGTTCTATGGGCAGTCACTTGCAGGGCAATGAGCACTATTTACATGTGAATATGGTAACTGCCTGTGTTTCCGAAACTGCTCTGCAATATTGGGTTAAAGGAAACCACATATGTTAATTGGCCAAAGAAGATTAGAGAAAATGTATATAGGACTACATGGCTCCAGGAGTCTTCTCATCTTTAGCCAATTAATATCTGAAAATTGTATTCCACTTCTCCCCCATTTTCTGCCCTTTAAAGAGGATAAACCTGGAAATTTCTCCGTCTCCATTAGAGAAATCAAGTCCACCCTCCCCACTTTTCTTTGCTTGTATGTTTTTGTGTGTTTTATGTTTATTCTCTAATCCATGGCAGCACCTCCTGCCCCCCACGCCCAGGCATTCATTTGTTTAGCCATGCAGGACACGGCAGTAAATGAGAGAGTGAAATTAGAGGTAGTTTATGTTTTATGTACAGATCTTAAGACATTACTGATTTCATAGTTTCATGTGTTTAGTTTTCAAAGGTTAGAGGTAATAAATCAGAAATAGTACCTTTTTAAGAACTGAATTTTTTTCTAGACAGAATTCTTAATCACATTAAGAGGGAAGCAAAAAGTTATCTATATGAAACTGCAAGCAGTTTGTAACTTTTTTTGGGGGGGAGAGGTTTTTGCTATAGGGTGCATACACTCACCAGAAAGAGAGAGACAGGTAGACAGAAAATGAGAAATCACCCCCTAGGGGGGATGGCCACGCCACAATCCCTTCTCCTCCATTCTCTCGGGATCTTGGGCACGCATGCATACATGCCCGGTGTGAGTTTAAGCCACCAAGTCCAGGACTTGAACCGCAGTCAACTACATGGGAGTCCAGCGACATAGCCATTACGCTAACTGCTGTTCCCAGCAGTTTGTTACTCTTAACTCCCTCATTGCTTAAACTGTCTGGTTCCCAGGAATAGCCTTAAATAGTATTGTTTCGGGAAGAAATATGTCACTATTGACTGAAATTAAATTTAGATAAAATACAGTTTCTTTTCCTTATGGGCATTTGTTTTGTTTCAAGTCATCCTAACTAGGTACTGCATTGCTATCAGTGGATGTATAATAGAAGCTTAGCTCTTTTTTGAAAAAATGAGTACAATTTTATGTAAACTGAATATTTAAAATAGCCCACTTCGCCTTAATGGGTCCTGTCTACCTTCATTAGTCTTCAAGGAGCAACTATTTGCTACCAAAAGTAAATCAGTATTTTGAATGTACTTATCTCGGTTTTGTTTATTAGCTAGTTCCTGAAAGCATTTCCACCAAAACCTAAAGCAAATCATAAGGAAGCTGTTTTTTTCCTTTTTTTTTTTTTTTAAGAATTATTTATTTAGGGACCAGCAGTCGGCATGGCTATGTCGCTGGCACTCCATGTTGCTGACTGTGGTTCAAGTCCCAGGCCCGGTGGCTTAAACTCAAACCTGGCACATGTGCATGTGTGTCCAAGATCCCGTGAGGAGAATGGAGGAGAAGGGATTGTGGCGTGGCCATCCCCACTGGGGGGTGATTTCTCCCTTTCTGTCTCTGTCTTTCTGGTGAGCGCACGTGCCCTGTAGCAAGAACCTCTCCAAAAAAAAAAAAAAAAGAATTACTTATTTAACTTTATTTGTTTTATTATCAATTTGATAAGAGAGAGACAGAGAAGGAGAGTGAGAAGGCAAGCCACCAGGTCCGGGACTCAAGCCATGATCAGCCATGTGGGAGTCTAGTGCCTTAACTACCATTCCATCTGCTCGCCCAAGCTATATCCTTTAAAATCCAGACCACTACCCAAAATTTCCATGTGCATATATTATTTAAGGATTTGGCTGTTTTTTTTTTTTAAAGGTATAAACACCAAAAAGAAAAATTTAACAGTGTATAAAATGAAAACAAGATTCACTTTCTGTAACTTTGTGTAAGTATTTTAAGTAACCATTATGCCATCTGCTAGTCCCCTCCCTGAGCTTTTTAGTAGGTAGTAAATCTAGAGAAGCAACCTATATATAGTCCTAAAAATTTGTTTACTTGCACTTACGTTTAGAATAAGCCCCAAGTAAAATGATGGAAATGTATATAGAACTATTAGTTCTTACATGATTTAATTATATCAGGATACATGAATTTAACTTTTATGTAGGCAAACTGTCCATTTGTATTCATTTTATTGTGTAGTAAAATAACATCCCTCCCCTACACATTCTTTCTTTGACCCAAATGAAACATTAACCTCAGGTCAAGATAAGAGAGAAAGATAACTGAGACGAATGTCTTATATTAAAAGACCAATAAATTTGTTGAACTCAAAACAAAAAGAAAAAGGGAGCAGCAGATGGCATTGCATCCCAGACCCGGTGGCTTGAAACTTATGCTGGGCGCACATATGCATGCGTGCTCAAGAACCCGAGAGGAGGGAACCAACAGTTAGCATAATGGTTATGTCGCTGGACTCCCACATAGTCGACCGCAGTTCACGTCCCAGACCCGGTGGCTTAAAACTCACGCCAGGCGTGTGTGCGCGCGTGCCCATGATCCCAAGAGGAGAATGGATTGTGGTGTGACCATCCCCCCTGGGGGGTGATTTCTCGCTTTCTGTCTCTTTGTCTCTCTCTGGCTGGTGAGCGCACATGCCCTATAGCGGGGAAAAAAAAACCTCTCCAAAAAAAAAGAACCCAAGAGAAAAGGGTATTGCAGTGTGGCCATCCCCCACAGGGGATGATTTCTTGCTTTCTGTCTCTATCTCTCCGGCAAGCACATGTGTGCTATAGCAGAAATCTCTCTTTAAAAAAAAAGACTTTACAAGTGCAGGCTGATGCAGTTCACTAACCCCTGGTAAATGCTGCCATCACATACGTTCGAGGAAGAGTGAAGACAGTCTGTGTCCGTCTGTGGTTCTTGGCCAAGGCCCTCGTTTCAAGATTTAAGATCTGTGTGTTGACTGCCTATGGCATAATTCTTTCTGACACTCTTCTCTTGCAGAAGCAAAACCAGCCCCAGAAATACTTGAAAATGAAGTCATGGCACTGCTGAGAGACTTTGCTAAGAACAAAAACAAAGAGCAGAGACTGCGTGCCCCAGATCTTGAGTACCTCTTCGAGAAGCCACGTTGAGCTCTGCGCCATCGCCTGGACACTAGCTAGCTTAGCTACCTGCTTCTCCTTTTACATTCAGCCTCCTTCCCTCAAACACTGGTCCTGCCTCAACTGCTAGACAAGCCTCTCCCAGGACATCCATGTCAATGTGCAATGTGACTCATTCTGACATTTTTTGTTTGGTTCTGAACCTCAAAAATTGTGTGTGAGTATTGACAGCTCTCAGGGCTGACTGCTTGGTCAGCCTCCTGACTTGGAGGCAGGGCTACCACCAGAGGGCACTGTAGGGGAAGCCATCAGGATAGCTCTTTGCTTCAGCTTCAAGTGTGCTCAAAGAAAAGAGCTAGCCAGCTGCTTGAGCTGTGTGAAAAGCCACCCTCCTCCTCTCCCTCCCCGCCCACCCCCAGGGCCCCAGGGCTTTGTTGAAGTGAAACCTCCCCCTTTCAACCTGGTATGGTCTTTTCTGCCAGGGGAAGCTGATCCAAGCCCCCTGAGCTGAATCCTTCAAAGGCACAGCAGGCAGAATGTGTGGGCATGCCACTTACAGTCAGCATCCTCCTCTTCAGATTTTCTTTAAAATGTGCACTTTGTAAATTGAAAGATAATGTAATATTAAAGAATATTTTAAAAAATAAAAGAAATTCACAATCCGTCAATTGTCAATTATTTTAGTTTTGTCTATTGTATAATCCATAATCACGTTTATAGAGTTTACAAAAAGGTTACAGTCACGCCGCGTTTAATCTCCATGCAGCCCTATAGCAAACTTTCCCCCCTCATTTCCACAGTCATCACTATCTTAGTTGGCTAAATAATAATGCATAACAAATACTGCGATAGAATGAGTTAGCTGGAAGTTTAGCCCTAGGGCTGGGAGAGTTCTGTATTGCTAGTGATGATCTCTGGAGGGGTTTTGCCTTCAGAGTTGTAATCCAGTTGTCAGAAGAGTTAGTCACCCAGACCTGGCCAGGAGCACTTAAAGGTGCTGGCCAGAAGAAGGCAGACCAGAGTGGATGGCAGATGGTGGGTGGTCCCCAGAGCCACACACAGGGTGGAAGTACATGTTTCCAATGCTGCACTACAGGATTCCCGCAGTCTCAGGGGTCTGCCTGCCCTTCAGTGTCCCTGACTAAGAAGGGAAGGAGAGAGAACCGGCCTTTGCTTATGTAATCTCATTAAAGCTTCACACCTATGGACAAGTAGTATGCCTGTTTTATAGATGAGAGAGGGGACTCAGTGTCATTTGTCCAAGGTTAGGAACGTTCAGTTAGAAAACCTGAATTTAGTATAGCTCGATCTGTCTCCAGAGTTCACAAGCATTGTAGAATGTGCTAACTTACTGCTGGAAATTTAATAGCAATCTATGCTTAGGAAATTTATGGCAAAGAAATTTGACAGTTCTGAGACAGACGGGACCTTTGCTGTGTGGGGCGTAGGAAGCTATCAGGTGCTTCCTGATGTGGATAGGTAGAGCTCAACTGCCTGTGTGGCACTTACAGTGAGAGGTTACGAGTTCAAACTCTGGCTCTCTACTGCTTACCTGATGGATAGATTAACTGACCTGAGCCTCAGTTTCCTCATCTACAAAATGGGGGTGATAGTGTTCTTTATCTCAACTAGTTGAGATCAGATGAGGTACCACACACAAGCTCTTATGCGGTGCCTAGCACACAGGATGGCTAGATCTGGGCAAAGTCATCCATACCAGCAATCTTCGAAAGATCGACAAGATCCAGGATGAAAAGCGATGATCGTGAGAGACATGGCAGTTTTCAGGTCATCCTTACACAGTAGATAGGAATATCAACATTTGGTCATGGTCTCAGCCCAAGACTTTGAACCTGTCTCCTAACACAAATTGCCCATATGACAGGGGTCACCATAACTGTGTGCCTCCTCTGCAGATCAGAAACCAAGCTGTTGAAATATTCATGAAGGGGCCAGAAGATGGTATGGGGGTTTAAGGTGCTGGACTCCCATATGGCCAACTAGAGTTCAAGTCTTGGACCTGGCAACTTGTTTTCTCATTTTCCTCCTCTTTCTCACTTTCTTTTTCTCTGGTGAGCATGTGTGCCCTGTAGCAAATCAAAAATAATAATGGAGCCAGTAGGTGGTGTGATGGTTGGAGCACTGGACTCCCACATGGCTGACTACAGTTCGAGTCCCAGACCTGGAGACTCTGTCTCTCTCTGGTGAGTGCATGTGCCCTACAGCAAATTAAGAATAACAAAATAATTATTTTATATATGTATGTGTATATATATATTTTTTTTCTTTTTTTTTTTTTTTTAAGTGTCCATGGAGATACCAGCCCATGAAGGCTAGAGAGAAAGCAGACCTGGGGACGAGGCCTTTGAAGGGAAAATCTGGCACTTACCTAAGCAAGGAACAGGAGTGAGCCTCGGGAGGCAGAAGGAGGGCAGACGAGATAGACGTCACCCTGGGAGCGGACCAGCGACTCTGGCCATTCTCTCGGGCCTCTTTTGATGTTCTGTGGGGAGAATGTTAAACAGGCAGAGTTTATATTTAGAAGTGTATCTGGTCAGAGACATGCACGTGAGTGGGGCAGTGACTTACCCATTTATCCTGTCCGTGTTATGCAACAGTCCCCAGTAGCCAAGTATGCCGTTTGGGCTTTTTTCCCCCCTTGGGTTTGATCCCTTCTTACCCTGATTTTGTCTTATTTAACTTTATGTTTAGCAGCTGCCACTTTCACCCGGGAATGGCACATTTCCGAAGGACTTATTTTCCTACCAGGCCACTGGCTTGTGTCATCTTTGAAAGCTAAGGCGCTCGCTAATTTCAGCTGCTCAGTGTCAGGCCCAGGGGTGCTATGTAAACAGTTTTTCCCGTTATTAGGCATTAAGTAAAACTAGGCCGGCCACAGTTCATTTCTTAAAAATTAATAAACATGTAGCCAGGGCCAGCAGTCCCCCGAGGATCCACGAGGAGCAGAGGCTAGACTCATTCCTTTTGGTTTGACACATTGCTGCTCACTGACCTCGTTCAGAGCCTGTGCCGGGCAGAGGAGCATCTGGCCCTGCCCAGCCCATTGGAAGTGGTCCCGTGAGACCACTGCCCAGGCTCCTGTGTGACATACCAAACTGGGTCAGGAGAGGCTGATCCCTTCCCATCCTTTCCTCTAAGTCCATCAACCGAACACCTTGTGCCCCAGCTCCCTGGGGCTCAGAGAGCATGTCTTCAAGGGTCACTGTGGAGGCGCCTCGGACTGGCTTCGAGCATTATCTAGAGGTCATCTGGTCTGCCTGTTCGGCTCCAGCCTGGGTGGCGCCAGCACAACCCTGGTCATATTTTACAATATCTCCACCAGAGAAAGATTGTGCTGGGATAGTCGAGGGACTCGCACTTACTCCCCGTCCATCTGCAGCTGTCGTGAGGCGGAAGACAAGGCTCGGTCAGTAAGAGGGAGCGACCTTAAATGGCAAGCAGGTCTGAGGCTTTTACACTGGCGGCCTTCTTCCTAGCACCGTCCTGTAATATCTGAGGATGGCAGCTCACCTCCTCCAGCTGTTGAGCTGACGACCCTGATCGGCACCCAGCGAGCCCCCTGGGTATAGGGCGTGGTGTTAGAATCTTGCCCATTTGAATAAAAGGGCATTGGTGAGGTGAGTGGCCGAAGTCCTACCTGGACCCTAACTACTCTGCTCCTTTTCCCTTAACATGCGGTGCTGTGAGACTCCGAACTCTAGTCCCGACACTTCCCATCTGTGACTTTGAACAAGAAACATAATCTCATTAAGCCTCATTTCTCCTCATCTGAAAAAGGGCAATAGTAACTGTACCCATCTCATGGCACTGCTGTGAGAATTAAATGATGGTTAACACATGGAACAAATACAAAGTAGTACTCTTTTTCTGCGAGGTTTTTGCTATAGGTTGTATGTGCTCGTCAGAAAGAGACAGAGACAGAAAGCGAGAAATCACCCCCCCCGGAGGGGATGGTCACACTGCAATCCTTCTCCTCCATTCTCCTTTCAGGATCTTGGGCACGCACGCACATGCGTCTAGAGTGAGTTTAAGCCACCGGGTCCAGGACTTGAACCATGGTCAACTACATGGGAGTCCAGCTACCTAGCCGTTATGCCAACTACTGGTCCCCTCTTTCTTTCATTTTTGGTTTTGCTTTAGGGCACATGTGCCCACCAGAGAGAGAGACAGAGAAAAAGAGAAAAGGTGAGAAGTTGCCTCCCGGGAGGATGGCCACGCCACTATCCCTTCTCCATTTTCCTCTCAGGATTTTGAATGTGCACATGTAGGCCAGGTGTGTTTCTCAAGACACTGGGTTAGGGACTTGAACCATGTATTTGACAATGTGGAATCTGGCCGCACTAACCACCATGCCACTAGCTAGCCCATAAGTAGTATTCTTTGTGGCTTTAAGAAATAAATGCTGGGGATTGACTGGCAGGTGGCGTGGTGGTTAAGGACACTGGGCTCCCACATGGCTGATCGTGGTTTGAGTCCCTGATCTGGCAGCTTGTTTTCTCACTTTCTCTCTCTCTCTGTCTGTCCTTCTCTGGTCAAAATAAATAGAGTTAAAAAATAATTCTTTAAAAAGAAACAAATGTCTTAGCAGTTTTGTAGGGGAGCTGGTGAAAGTGTGACATATCGAAGACAGCATCAGTCTTTTTCTTTTAGAGAGAGATTTTTGCTATAGGGTGTATGCCCTCGCCAGAGAGTGAAAGAAAAGTAAGAAATCACCCCGGTGGGGGGGGTGGGGGATGGCCATGCCACAATCCCTTTTCCTCCATTCTCCTCTTAAAATCATGGGCATGCACTCACACGCTCTTGGCATGAGTTTTAAGCCACCTGGCCCAGGATTTAAACCACAGTAGACTATACTGTGGGGTCCGGTGACATAACTATCACACCATCTGTTGGTCCCGACAGCATCAGTCTTTTTTTTTTTTTTTCTTTTTTATAACTTTATTTGAAAATCAGCAGTTAGTTCTCATCCACATTGACTGTTTGTAGATTTTTTTAGAATTATTTTTATTTAAATTTATTTATTATTATTATTTTCCAGTTTGGTCAGAGGGAGATAGAGAGAGAGGAAAAGTGAGAAAGCAAGCCACCAGGTCCAGGACTTGAACCGCGGTCAGCCATATGGGAGTCCAGAGCCTTTAACCACCATGCCACATGCCGACCCCTGTTCGTAGATTTTTTTTTTTTTGGAGAGTTTTTTTGCTATAGGGCGCGTGCGCTCGCCAGACAGACAGAGAGAGACAGAGAGACAGAAAGCGAAAAATCACCCCCCAGAGGGGATGGTCACGCTACAATCCCTTCTCCTCCATTCTCCTCTCGGGATCTTGGGCACACACGCACACGTGACCGGCATGAGTTTTAAGCCACCAGGTCCAGGACAAACTGCTGTCAACTACGTGAGAGTCCAGCGACAAAGCCATTACGCTAACTGCTGGTTCCCCCTGTTCATAGATTTTTGAAAGTGGTAACAGGTACATAGGTCACCAGAGTGTAGAGCTTGTTGGGTGAATCTTCATCCTCATGTTTTCTGGACAACTGCACATGGATTCGATATGGGATGTTCCTTATTCTTTTGGCCCAGACAGCTTTGTTGAGCCTGGTATCAATGCCCACATCTGGAGTCCCCATCTCTTTCATGGCAAGTTTCTGG